GGCTTTGCTCGCTACTAGATTCCTTGGACAGGAATGGCAAAACGCTTCTAGCTTTTTTATGTATTTACCGTTTTTAATCTTACCACTGTATCAGCCACGTGCCCTCAGAGCTCGTAGATCGCTATCGCATCGCCACAACCGCGGTTTTGTGCACAGCAGTTTGCAGCAAATGATATTTTTGTTTTCAATCCACGCGCCTTCAAAACTAAGTTGTTTCATTCTATCTATGGTCGCAACTGCCCCGGTTTTATCCACCGAGTTTGTGGAAAGCACTGTTGCTTTGAGTGGTTGAACGTTGGCCGCGCGCAAACTTTAGGATTTCAGTCATTAATGTCGTCACCACACATGATTGTGTCGTCGAATGACCACGGTTTCGTCCACAGCGGTTGTGGCAACGACAACCACACGCACTGTAGAAGTCGGTGCGTGTGCTAGTGGCACACGTAGTTCCGAAGTTTCGAGCACGCTGCTCTCGATCGGCCTTTGTTTGACGGTATGGGTACGTATATGGGTTCATATCGCACGCCGCGATTAAAAAAAGTCTTCGAAACATTCGAATTTTGGCCCAATGGACATATGAATTTGGCTGGGAAATTTGACTAATTCAAATACGTCGTGGTTTCACATCACTGAGACTCTACTGTCAGTTTAAATGAACGCCTCTCAAATTCGTTTATAATGCGGGGGGCTCGCAAAAGGCCTGAAATGGACTGGCCTGCATTTTTTTCAGAGCGGCCAGATTTCGCACACACATTTCGATTTTTGGGACATTTTCATGGTGACCCTACAAACAGGAGAAACGGCAGCAATCCGGAAGTCTCCTGGACAATCGTATGTGATGATGATAAGACCAATACTAGGTCTCTCCTGGTGGCGGAATATAGCACAACACCATTTTTGTGGTCTCCGCGAGCCGCTACAGCAATGCAGCGTAGCCAATCGCAGAGCCCACGGTAGTTTACTAACTTCATTTTTTAAAAATGAAAATAAAATATTTTTCATAAAATTTCAGGCAAGATTCATAAAATCGTAAGCGCGATCAAAATTCGTACATTGTACGAAAAAATCTGAAAAGTTGGCAGGTATGCACAAGGTAACATATTCTTACAAAAAAGGATAACCATAAAAACAAGATTAACACAAAAACAGAAATAAAGTAGCAATGAGTGTCACAGTATTTCTCTGAACAATGTTTCAGAGCGACAGTCAGCAATCTACTGTGGAAGCTGATTCCACTGGGAAATTGTGTGGAAAAAAACAAGTGTCTTTTTTCCACACAAGAACAAAAACTCTCAATGCAAACAGACTGTGCGCAAAGTGCTTCACTTTCCAGATAGACACTGAGCCTTGATCACAAGGTCGCCACACCATCGTCGCGCTGTTTTGGAGGTCCATTCGTACGTGCCGTTCGTGCTGTACAGATAAAATCACACTGGTCTAGAGCAGCGGAGCGCGTGCTCGTCGACACTGTTGTTGGCCCCGGCTTCTATCTCACGTTAGCCAGAAGCTACCATTCATTTTTACATTACAGCACAAGGGTCTAACACGCAGTACAACCATGCTTGAAAGCATTACGACGTCTTTCTTTAGATGTTTCAGAAGAAAACACCAGTTCGAGCAGCCGGCTGGGGCGCTCTAGACAAGTCTGATTCTATCTGTACGTGCATCGGCGTGCAAAAGATGTTTCGAGGGTCTCTAATCACCCAAGTCGCGGATATCAAACACCGCACGTGCAGCAAGTTTTACGAGTGCGCGGACCTTGGAAATTGCAACCCTGCCGCTAGCGCTTTGAACGGATGACGTCAAGCCTTATTATTTTATATAAGAATAAATTTATTGGAATCGCATTCGTTGCTAAGAGCATAAGTGAAACTAACAAATTGTATCTTTTAGATCCAATATTGCTGATATAGCATAACTCAAAACACCGCTGGCTAAAGGAACAATGATCAGTCGAGTTGCCGAAGCTTTCGTGTTGTCAGTTACCTAAAAGCGAAGCAGAGGTTAGTAGTACAGAAAGTTCACGAGCTATCGCATTATGCCTCGAGATAGCGCGCACCAGCTACTTCAATCGACGCAGCAGCCTCCCCTCCACCCACCCCTTGAAAACGAAGCAATAAATGCGATGCCGTGATGTTTAATTTTTTTTTTTTATAACAGTCAGCTACTGACCCTAGAAAGCGAGAGGCGGACGTGTAATAAGACGTAGTCACTCCACAGGCCTTCAGACACTACAGCCCCCAGCGATGGCCTCGCTATAGCTACGCGTATTGAAAGTGAATTGTGGCTGCTCAGACCAGAAGGCATGCTTTTATAAATGAGATGATATTTAAAAGAAAGCATGCGAAAGTTTTCAATTCCGACCCTAGCAAGCTCGAGTTCAAAAGGGCAGGGTATGTTAGGGGCTTTACCGCCACAGCGATTATAAACGCGGATGTACGTGCTGGTGGAAGGAATTAGAAACAGCTTTTCTGTAAGATATTCTACATATAAAAAATATTAAGGAAAAGTGTCAGTGCATTCCCACCATTTACGAGTCCTTCGGCGAATGCGAAACATGAAAAATTAGATCGCCACGCCAGACATAGAGGTGACAGACATTCTGATAGCATGCGTGCAGCTATTAGTGAAAATTGCTTTCTTACATGCCGTGCAACTCTTCAAGCGAGATATTAGCAGCATTTCTAGAATGAACAACGCCCGCCGATGAATCGTCACCACAGTTTCACACTATCCTAAGGAGTTTCTGCTGAGAGCGCATTACGTCATTAAGCGAACTTGCACAACCGAGTTGCGCCGGCACCAAACATAACATAGATGTTAGGATGCACGCACAAACGCTCTTTATTCAGCGTAATAAAATAGTTACGTGATTGTAACTTTGGTGGCCCGAGAAGAAGATGCACATGTATTGACGCGCCGGCGTGGCTATTGCCCGTGATAAACCAGCCCAAATACAACTTTGACAAAGTTTGGCAGCTTTTTCCATTGATATATTAAGATGGCACAGTATATCTCATTTGGTGCACTTTGGCACAAAAGTGGGATCACTGTGCTACCTTTTGCATGCATGCCTGCTGATTCATTATCACCATACTGTGGAAAAACAGTCTCTATGCGCTGGCACTTTGCACTGGCAGAGCCCACATACACAGGGCATGCGTTTCTAAATCACAAAATCCCATGCACTCAAACCTTTCAGGGCGACGTTCTTTGGTGTGCGAATTCCAGAATGAGTGCTGCGCAAATGTCTGGCACCCCATACAGTAGCGCTATGTTAACTCGCACGACGGCAACTACTCATAGCTTAAAGTCATTGGCGAACACAATCTGCCCACGCGCTCTCCTTGTGTGGAGTGGCAAGTGTCAGCATCTAACTTATTCTTACACTGCGGGGTGGGTTCATTACGCAAGTAAATACGGTCATATAGAACCCCATAGTGAGTAGTTGTAATCAAACCCCCCTTTTATAACATACTGCCCCTAGAAAAGTGGAGGCAGCTGCATATAAACATTATTTACTAGCCTACTTAATGTTCATACTTGGTATTCATCAAATGTATCATAAGTGGGTACCAATCGATGTTCCAAACCAAGAAAATAATACTTGTGACAAAATAATTGCTAATTTCAATTGAGCACAGATGCTAGCACCCTGATATTACTTGTATGATAAAACCTCATTTCAGCTATACCCCATACTACTACAGATGAAACCCCATTATATGACCGAGGAGACCACTCAAAACCATCATACAGTAAAACCTCATATATTCGAACTCTGTTATATCAAAATTTTTACTTATATTGTAATATTTTTGCAATCCCATATTTTGCAATACAAGTCTAACTTGAAAATTTGAAGTGGCGGTCAGAACAGTCTGTTTAATACGAACACTTTGGGTCCATATAATTATTCCAGATTCTTGATTTCGCCACAAATCTACGGGTATGATGGTCATTATGAGCCACAAGGCAATGCACTGTAGCAATACTTATGTATGGCAGCTGAAGCATCTTAGCCTCGTTACTTCCAGCACCAAAAAAACATCGTCTCGTGGTCAGCTGAAACGTGTGTGTGGAAAACAAGATGTGCTTCACTGCAGCACAGCAGTGACACGCAAGCAGCGTGTCGCATGCTTCTTGCAATGTCGGTACGTCGTGATTTACCCACACTTTCTGGGGACATAAAGAAATAATAAAGGACAGCCTGGCGGAGTCGATGTATGCGAACTTTGGACTGTTGGTTGCTCAACGATTTGTGCACTTTTACTGCTGATGGAGTTCTTGCCTGCATCACCTACTTCGAAAACTGAATTCGAAAGCTTTGACGATAATGTTTTCCAATCAAAACATGCTCAAGGCGTGTTTTGCATGCTCAAGGCCTGTGACCAAGTAGTATAGCAAACAAAGGGAGATCTTCAGCATTATGTCGGCCAGGAAAAGTTTCTATAGGCCAAAAACGAGAAAATATGTTATCTTGAAGACAACAATAAAGTTGGTTCCATCCATCCATCTCAACGACGAGCTTTCCAACGAGCCAAGCTACTCCGTGTAATACTTGTCTAGGTAACAGCCCTGAACACAGACATGATCATGGCGTATGGAGAAGCGATCTTATAGAGCCAGAAAATAATTATCACAGAGTCACATAAACTGCCAAGAAAATAAATTTTCCATTCTGAGAAACAGACTGTACCTGTCTATATTCTTCTAGTCATAAAACTAAGGGTAAGCAAGTTTTTATTTTGCACCTGCAAACACTTCTATCAGCATTAGATTTCAGTAAAAAAGATGTTTGTATATTTTCTTTTTTCAGACGGCATCAGACAGTTGTATATTGCGGGGTCGTCGTAAACTTGTGCCGTATAACCGGAGGTGTTAATACATTTCCAGGGACCAAACCAATCCAGTGCAAGATGCAGGTCGTCGCAATACCATACCTTAGGACGTACAATTGATGTTCCATTGTACCTACAACACAATAGAACTGTGCTTACTAGATTGCAGTGATGGTTGCTGGGTCAATTGTCAGACGGAGAGGTCCCACTCCAAGCAGTAAAAATTCAATACACTGAAAGGGCACCTCAAGGATCCTTTTGTTGGGTACCTTGTGTAAGCTGTAAAATAAGAAAACAAGAAAAATGGTTAAGTACATGCAGGAGCCTTTAAAGGGCCTGTAAACCACCTCCAATATTTTTTCAAGCATTTCACGTAAACGAGAGCATTGTGTGCAGATTGCCGTTGCGATGAACGATTTTGCACGTGGCAGCGCTATGAGCCGCTGGTGCACCACAAATTCCAAGAAACAATCCCTCCTTTTTTCCGGCCCTTTCGGGCCTCCGCGTAACGTGCCGTGCCACATCTCGAACGCGCCGAGCCAAATATGCCAATTATGTTGTGACTGGTCGAGTAAGAGCCTACGACTGCCGGTCAGTCTGGAAGCACCTGCTCGCACTGCTTGTTGTTGTTCGTCGTGTTGCCCACGTGGGTGTAACACGAGCGGTGCACAGCGTGTCCCCGCATGGGTCCATCGCGTTGGCGATTCTTTGAAGGCGAACGCGCAACGCAGGTTCCATTACGACATGATTACGGCAGCCATGGTTCACCAACAAGCACCTAACTGACGGAGTCGACAGGCGGAGTCCCAGCAACCGGAAGTAGATGGTGTTTCAAGCAGTGCATCAGTGATGACGTATGCATGCGAGATTGGGAGGGGCGCTCGGCGAGTGGGCAAAGCGGCGTGGGAGAAGATACCAGTAGAGGGAAGCGCAGGAGAGAGCGAAAGGTGTGGTCGTCACGGTTTAGATAATCTAACACGTCTAACTCCGCTATTACTGCCCCGTTTCGAAAAATTCTCACGGCTCTGTGTTCGTCAAAACACTTGTGCACAATTTCCCCACCACAACTGAATTTCGACCTCTGGGTGGTTTACGGGCCCTTTAACCAAAAAGCATGAACAAAAATTTTACTTTTTGAACGAAAAATAATTAATTATAGAGAACTAGCAAAACGTTTAAGCAAGTGCATCCTAGAAAGATTACAAGAAAAAAAAAAAAAAAACCTTTCCGATTCATGCCAGGTACCCCTAAAGACCGAAAACGCATCGCTCAGCAGAAGCATCATTTAGATCTTGCACAAGGAAGTACATCGGCTACAAGATAGAGTGAGGTTGGCACCTGACAGAACCATAAGGATGGTGAAACCTGTAAGCTAACTTCAACGTCTTTATCTATATGTGCGATTATGGTGCTGATAAATTTTGTTGCTCTATGGCTCTCGCTGTTTCTAATTTTGGTATGCAGCTTATGACAATGTAGAGCGGTCTTGTACTGTCACGCCCACTTCAAGGCAAAGGCTTCTGCCATAATCCGCCAATCAACTGGTCTTATGCTTTCCACTGCCACGTTATACCTGCGAACTTTTTAATCTCATCAGCCCACCTAGCTTTCTGTCTCCCTTTCGTGCGTTTGCCTTCTCTGGGAATCCAGTCAGTTACCCTTAATGACCAAGGCTTATCCTGCCTACGTGCTACGTGCCTAGCCCATGTCCATTTCCTCTTGATTTCAGGGACAAGGCCTCGATAGAACATCATCATGGGAAGCTACGCCTCAGGTGTTGTGTCGACGCCATGACGTTCGCAGTGGGACGTCAGCGGACACTGACCAGCTAGGCTATAAAACCAAGGTCCATCTTCAGCGGCCTTTCAGTGGGCTTGGCAGCACCTTCTTTGGACGGACGCTCATGCATTTCTGCTTTTTCGTCCAGGTTGGTGACAAATATCCTGTCTATCAGTCTATTCGTGACGATTCTCTTACTTTGATAGTGCTGCCAAGCCCACAATGTTTGTTTCGCTGTGTGACTGTTTGATTGTCATTAGATTGCTCTTGTTAGCATCGGGAGACGTGGAGCTGAACCCAGGTCCGTCTTCGGAATCAGAATCCGAGGCTACTGTAAACAGTCAGCTTCTTAGAAAAATCTTAAAAGAGCAAACGAAAACCAATAAGACGCTCACCATGCTTTCTGCCAACCTGAAACAAGTGGAAAAAACTATAGGTGGGGTTCAAGAAAGGATAGCGTCGATTGAAAAAGAGCTTGGACGGCTACAAAAATGCGAGGAAAAGCTGGTTGAGCACGAAGCAGCGTGCAAGGGGACGAGGGAACTAGTGAACGAGTTTACGATTAAAGTTGATGACCTTGAAAACCGAAGTCGAAGAAACAACTTGATGATTTATGGTTCAAGTGAAGAATCAAAAGAAGATAACAAATCTCTGCAAGACAGGGTTCAACAACAAGTATTTAAGGACTTACTCGGCGTCGAAGTGAATTCGATAGAGCGCATCCACAGAGTAGGTTTTAAACGTGCTGGGAAACACCGACCTATTATGTTGCGGCTATTTGATTACTCTGAGAAAACTACAATTATGTCGGTTTGTTTCAAGCTGAACACAGATTTCCATATCTGAAGATTTTTCCAAGAGAGTTCGCAACTTACGCCGCAGGTTGTGGCATTCGGCAGCAGTGGAAAAAACCAATGGTGCAAAGGTTTCACTCTTGTTTGATAAACTGAAAGTAGACGATAAAGTTTATATCTGGGACGAGCTTTCAAACCAACGGCTGGAAGTTACACGACATGATGCGCAGGCCCGGCGGAATTCTGGTCATTCTGCAACAACCCGAGTGAACACGAGAAGCAGCAGTAAAAAATGACAGCCTGTGAGCAAAGTTCTCAGAGTTGTTTCACTGAATGCGCGTAGTGTTGTTAACAAAGCCAGTTCCCTTGAAGACGTTATCTCCTGTTACCAGCCACACGTCTTAGTAATCACTGAGACATGGCTACATGCAGATGTGCAAGATTCGGAAGTCATACCGTCTTCTTACAAGCTTATTCGTAAAGATAGGGAGTCACGCGGGGGAGGAGTAGCAATCGCTATTAAAAATAACGTCGCATTTGCTGTTTTGGATGGCATCAACAACCACGAAAGCGTGTGGTGCAGAATTAAATTTCTTGGTAAAAGAATACTTTTAGGGGGCGTGTATCGACCACCGAGTTCTTCGCCCGAATACTTAGAAGCCATTCAAGACTACCTTGCAGATAATACAAATTCTCGATCCCGGATTATAATAACAGGAGATTTCAACCTACCGGGTATAAACTGGGCTGATTTTTCTTATGATGGCAAAGAATCTCGAAGTGCAGATATACTGATTACGACCGCATTCAACTTCTGCTTACAACAACTAGTTTCTGAGGCTACTAGGGTTGACAGTTCATCATCATCTCTCCTTGATTTGGCACTGGTTAGAAGCTCGTTCCAAGGTTGTTCAGCCAATGTAGAAGAAGGAATATCTGATCACAAGTTGCTTGCTGTGTCATGTCCTGTTTCGGGAACACGTTCATTTACTAGACCGTCGGATACTTTCGTGAGAGATTACACTCATGCGGATGATAACGCTATTTTAGAATATTTGGAATCGCGTTTTGATTGTTTTAGCCAAGTTAATAATGTCAATGAAATGTGGTCAAATTTCAGAGAAATTGTTCTCTTTTGCGAGCAAAGATATGTGCCGTTAAAAAAAGAAACGAGTTAATAGGGAATATCCGTGGTTCACGAGAGAAATGATTCATTTGAAACGCAAAATTAAGCGTCAGCGCAAGCGTCAGAACACGAGTGATTTTTCAAGCCTTACTTCTAAGCTGCGAGAACTAACGCGATCGGCAAAGGAAAGATTTTTTTCAGATACTCTACCGTCATTCATGAAGAATGAACCCCAAAAATTCTGGCGCTATCTGTCAAAAGATAAACGAGGCATTTCAGAGATCAGGGTCGAGGGAGAAAGTATTGTTGACGCGACTACCATTGCCAACAAATTTAATGTCTTTTTCCAGTCCGTTTTTACACGGACAGCCACGCATGCTCAGTTGCGGTCATATGACTCTGATAGCCTCATGCCAGAAGTTGAAATCACTGAGGATGGAGTCCTTTGCCTTTTACACAAACTAGATGTAAAGAAATCACCTGGTCCGGACGGACTATCTAATACTTTTTTGAGTAGATATGCTGTTTGGGTGGCAAGATATTTACATCGCATTTACACTGCATCGTTAGACGCTGCAGTTATTCCTGATGACTGGCGCTCGGCAAAAATAATTCCGGTACATAAATCCGACATTATTTGGAGCCCTTGGCAACAATATTTGATTAAGAAAATAGAAAGGGTCCAAAATTTAGCTCTGCGCTTTATATTCCGCTTACTCCCGACAACATAGTGTAACTAATCTACGTAATAGGGCAAGCCTACAAATACTAGAACAGCGCAGGATAATATCCAGATTAAAATTCGTCTACCAACTTGATCACGGGGACTTTAAATTATCACGGGAACGATACCTTCAGCAGCCTTCTAAACTTTCAGCTAGGACAAATCACAACAAAACGTTTAGGCAGCCACCTAGCCACATTAATGCCCACAAGTTCGCTCTCTTTCCTCGCGCAATTTTTCATTGGAACGCATTACCTGCGGAAGTAGTGAATGCTGCCTCGACGGCTTCATTCACTCAAACAGATAGAAAAGATTAATTTCACCATATAAGTGATGTATGCAGAAAATAGTGTCATTTGAGTGCAAATCATCCGGCTACAAATGTTGAAAATATTCTTAGTTGAGCGCAGTTCTGTTGAACAGCGAGAAAATATATTTGACTTTTCTGTACTTGATAGTTATGTATTTTTTCATTTATGCCCTGTACTCCAGTGTATTACTAGTTATTGCTTGAATGTATTGTTTGTATCCCACTCCTGCATGGGCCCGGGTAGGGCCTGCAGTATCTGTAAATAAAATAAATAAATAAAAAAAATTCAACTATGAAATCCTTAACACTGATTTGTTCCCTCACCCACCCTGCTCTCTTCTTGTCTCTTAAGGTTACACTTATCATTTTCCTTTCCATCACTCGCTGCGCTGTCCACAATTTAAGCTGAATCCTATTTGTAAGCCTCCAGGTTTCTTCTCCGCAGGTAAGTACTGGCAAGATGCAGCTGTTACATACCTTCCTTTTGAGGGTTAGTGGCAGATTACCATTCATGATTTGAGAATGCTTGCCAATGTGATCCAGCCC